TTGAGACAGTGTTTTGCTCTTGTTGCCCAGGCTGGAGGCTGGAGCGCAGTGGCGCGATCTCGGCTCACTGCAACCTCCCCCTCCCAGGTTCGAACGATACTCCTGCCTCATCCTCTCGAGTTGCTGGGATTACAGGCGAGTGCCACCACGCCCAGCTAATTTTTGTATTTTTAGTAGAGACAGGGTTTCACCATGTTGGCCGGGCTGATCTCGAACTCCTGACCTCAAGTGATCCGCCCGCCTCGGCCTCCCAGTGTTGGGATTACAGGAGTGAGCCGCCGTGCCTGGACACCTAACTCATTCTTAAGACTGGTCCCAACATAATTGTACAGTTTTCCTAACATCAGTCAGCCACCTTATTAGACATTCCAAATCTCTTCAACCAGCCATCTTACAAAACCTTTTTAGAGTTGCATACACAGAAAGCAGAAATCAATTATTACATTTGTTTCCTAGTCATATACTCCAGCCTCCCACAGAACTCAAGAATTGCCTCTGGCCACTCCTTGTCACACGATGAAATTTGTAGCATCATATAAGGGCTCAACAGATTGAGCCCTCGGCCTCCCAGCGGGGCTCCACCGACCCCCTCTGCTTCACTAGGCAGCAGCTCCGAATTGTAGTTCTTAGGCGGGTACTCAACAGAAATTTTGGAAACTGAATGAGTTCATGTTTGCAAGGCCTTTGGCATAATTCCTGACACAGAGAAAGCGCTCAATGGATATTAATTATAATTAATGCAAAGCACCACCGTGCACTGTTGGATTCGCACAGCCTGGGAGACGGTTCGGTTGTCATCACTTTCTTACAAATGGCTAAACTTTAACTTGTTTGGTTGAGGAAATGAGCAAATAGGGAAGGCAAAATGTGACTTGTTTTACCTGCAGGGCATTCGTCTTTGGGTCTCTTTATGAAAAGACAGAGGACACCTTTCTCTTCAGTTCACATTCTCTGCAGCCGTAAGATGGCTCTAGAACACTTGGCAGTAGGAGAGAGAGAACGACTCAGAAACTGACTGCCTTTCTGGCAGGCCCTCTGGGCTCCAGTCCTCCAGCAGCCTCTGGAGGAATTCCACCTGCGGAAGTCAGTTGTCAAGGAAAACCAGATCTGTCGCCTCGCGGCGATGACGTCATCAAGAAGCGGCGGGAATTGGGGGAGACTTCCGGCCCCCACCCGCGCCACGACTTTATAAGGTCTCTTCCCATGATTCTCTCCTTCTCTTCGCCATCTTTCCTCTTACCGTGGAGCCGCCGCCATGAAGTAAGCAGGACTGGTGGTTCACAATCGGCTTACATCCTCGGGCACAACGTCTCTCCAACGTCCGGGGCATGGCTGTAGACACCCTCCTTGATGGACTTTCACTTTTTGTTGCAGGGTCGAGCTGTGCAGTTTCAGCGGGTACAAGATCTACCCCGGACACGGGAGGCGCTACGCCAGGACCGACGGGAAGGTAAAAAGCCGCGTCCGCTGCACCTAACTTCTTGTACTCTGCGGAGGAAAGGCTGGTCTGATCCGGTTCAAACAGGTTCATTCCCAACATCACCCCTGGTCTCTGGAAGGCTTCGTGGGCGCTCTGTGGACTGGTCGCTAGGACCAGAAGCCTCTAAGTGAACCCCCGCTCTTTCCTGGGAGCCGGTCGGACGTCGGGAGGGGTTTATGTAAGCGGTGTAGGGACATGAGTTACGGAAACCCCTCCCGACGTCCGACCGGCTCACGGCAAACCATTTCCGAGGTACCGAGATAACTGGCAGCTTCCTCTTGGAATCCCAGGACCGACAGCAGAATGCTTCCCAGAAGGACGCACCACCCTGCCCTTCGCTTTCAGCTTAGATTTCCTGCTCTTAAGAAAAAAACTAAACGCAGGGACCTTCATGATGCCACACAGTTACCTGCCTTTTGGTCTTTGTGGGTCTCAGTTTTGTAAAAGGAGAAGCCAGAACTAGAATATTAATCTTCTAAGGATTTCAAGCTCACTCAGCTTCTTGTACTTTGTATAGTTGGCTAGGTAATTCCTTTGAATGTTTCACTTTAGGTTTTCCAGTTTCTTAATGCAAAATGCGAGTCGGCGTTCCTTTCCAAGAGGAATCCTCGACAGATAAACTGGACTGTCCTCTACAGAAGAAAGCACAAAAAGGGACAGTCGGTAAGTGGAATAGCCTTGATGTTGTGGGGCTGTCTCTTAAGTTGTTTAAGCTCCCTGAACGTTGGTTTTCTGCTGTGTAAAATTAAGTCAGACTGTATGCAAAAGTGCTCCTAAACTGTAAAGCATCAGCTAAATAGAAACTGTCTCTATATATCTTAGGCTAACAGCTATACCGAGTTGAAATTTTAAAGTCAGATAAATCACGTTAAGCACATTTGGGTTATAGGGCACGCTGGAAAGGCTCAAGTTTTCCAGTGGGAGGAAATTGAGTAGTTGCCATAATTGGTTTTGATTACAATATTTATAGGATTCGTCCTAACGTAGCCATCAGTTGGCTGTGAACCAGTCCACCGTACTGGTTCGTTCTCAAGATAATGGTTTTTCTGGTCCTTAAGTGTCCTTTCAGCTGGGTGAAGGAGGTACGTGAGAAAAAGTTTGAGTGCCATGGTAGGAGTAGTATTCAGGAGGCTTGGGTAGGCTTAGCACCTTTTTGATGAAGCACTTTTCTAGGTATTGTGAGAAATAAATGCCATCAGACATAAAATATGTTGAAAGTTAAGAAGGAGGAGGAACTTAAAAGTGGATATGATGCACCTATTAGGGTGACTGTTCAGAAAAAGCATTACAGGTGTTGGTGAGGATGGGGATAAATTGGAACCTTTGTGCATTGCTAAATATCATGCAGCAGCTGTGAAAAACCATTTGGTGCTTTCTCAAAAGGGTAAACATAAAAATTATCCCGGCAATTCCACTTCTAAGATGTCCCCAAAACAGTTGAAGGCAGGGATTCATAACTTACACTAAAGTGTCACAGTAAATCCAGGCTTGGTGGCAGCAGCTGTACTCTTAGCTCCTCCGGAGGCCAAGGTGGGAGGATTGCTGGAGGCCAGCCTAGACAACATAGGAGACCTTAAAAAAAAAGTTATTTAGATGGATAATGATGATAGCTACACAGCACTGTGAATGAA